GTAACAATAGTGTTAGAATCAGAAAGTAGAAGCATTATATAAGAAACATCTGCTTATCCTGGATACTGTCAAAAAAGAGTGAAATAAGAGTTCTGTACATTCCTATAGAAATTGCATTACAACAGTACAGGGTTAATGGTTTCAATTTCCTTCAAACCATGAGGGCAAACTCATTTGGAAAAGAGAGTATCTGCCCAGTAGTAGCACTGATAACAACACTTAATGCTGGGCCTGTACGATAGATATTTTCCTAGCCCCCGAGTTTCTACTGTTACGTGGTGTCCAGCTGACCACTAGTTGATATTCCACATCATTTATCTTTGAAACGGTGCATGTCTGGCCTTTTTGTGACCCAAGATAAGGAGGAACTTGGCTGGGGCTCCCTAAGAAGCTAGCTTGGACTCTATGGCATCTCTCCAGCTAGGAGACTGGTCCTCTGCCAAAACGAGGCATAACAGCGCAGTACAGAAGTCCTGGATTGTTAGCCAAGGTCTGATTATCAACTTCCAGGCAATAATCTCCATTCTCACCTCAGTCTGAGAGAATAGCCCTCAAAAATTTATTTTGCCCCACTACCATGTTATTCTTGGTGTCCTGGGTCAGACTGATAATAAAGAGTAGCTTTCTAGTATGTCATAGCATCTCTGTCTTGTCTGGGTTTCATTTCAGCTTGCTCTCTCTTATCCTTGGACATTCACGGGTATCAATTATTTGGTGAGAGCACCAGAGAGCCAGTTTGGTGTAGTGGTGATGGCACCAGGCTAGAAAGCAGGAGACCCTGAGTTCTAGTCCTGCCTTAGGCATGAGAGCCAGCTGGGTGACTTTGGGCCAGTCTCTCTCTCTCAGCCCCAGGAAGAAGGAGCCGAAGGCTTATGAACATCTTGCCAAGAAAACTGCAGGGACTAGGCTAGGCAATTACAAGGAGTCAACATTGACTCAAAGACGCACGCACGCATGCACACCCACGCACACACGAACACCCACACAACACAAACACTAGGTGCCATCAGAATATGGGGGTCACCTCAACCAAAAGATTCAATGCATTTATTACACAATACAGAATGCAATCCTGGGGGTGCCATAGGTAGAAGGGGAGTGACGCTAATGACAGGATATTGACTAGAGTCACTGAAATGGATAGCTCTAAAACCATGGGAACATGAAGACAGGAAGGGGCTTTCATTTGCTTCAGTGCAAAAGTGATGACAAGAGTGTGCGGCTGGGTAGGAATAAGAAGCCCCCTCTTCCCTGGTCCTCAGACATTTGGAGCATGCGGAAGTAAATCTTCTTGCACCTTCTACAGTATACATGCAAAGAGCTGGATAGTGGGGAGGTTGTAACAGAAGCTAGACCCTGTAGCCCACCCTACCCTATGCAGTTTGAGGAACTGGTTGCCCTGAGGCTGGCAGTGTCTCCCTCTTGCCACCCACAACTGTCTTGAAGGACCCACCTGCCAACTCTTGGCATCCCAAGCTATGGCTGCTTGAACCCAGGCCAGAAGTCCAAAATCACACAATAGCAACCTAGACCTTATTATGTGATTCCCAACTTCTAGAAGAAAAGGAGGATATGCAAAAGCTTTGTTTTTGGTAAAAATGGGAGTATCAACCTTGCGGAAGGCCCACATTTGGTCTTCAGTATTCCTCTCACCAAACCACTCAAAAAAGAAGAAAAGGGGCTAGCTGCCCAAGAAAGATGTCCCTTCTCACGGACAGCTAAAGAAGAAATAGCCATGGAGGTACAGAGCCCACTGACCACATGGGAGGAGGCCATCCTGCAGCCAACCGAGTCCTTCAGTTCTGGCTTTCTGAAAAATCCCTCTGTTGCGTGACAAAGAGCAGGTAGCTTTTTCCAACAGAAAACCCGAATTTTCCTGCTTGGTCACCTTCAGCTGGCTTCAGTGTGCCTCGGCGCTGTTGCAGCCACAAGATGAAGGCGTGAAACATGTCCTCAGTGAACCATTAGTGGGTAGTTGTAGGGCCTGGGCAAGGAGGCTGTATGGATAAGGCCTCTGCAACAGATGACAATGTCAACTGCTCACAGAAAGGCTGCATCTTCTCACAACCATCACAGTGGCCAAGTGCTCTGGTGAAGACACAGGACAGCATCTTAACTATTCTGTGCAGACACGACTGTCCTAGCCCCACTGGGGGTGAGGAGGCGTCAGGTGGCCTTGGAGGGTGCCAACTGCCATGAGGCAGGGAAAATGGGGAGGTTCTGGATCTGGACTCTCAGAAGAATCTCCAGGATGACTTCAAGTTATGCCCAGAGAAGAATGAGAGTTAAATTTGTGGGAAGAGTCTAAGCTCTTTGAATCTTATAAGTACAAGCCCTGGGTTTTTCAAGTTATGTTTCTCTGAATTACAATTTTTTAAAGTGTCAGTAACCTTTTTTCCCCCCCCCCCCTTTTTTTTTTGTTAAATGGAATGAAATTTGCAGTGAGAAAGAACCTGTCATGAAGAGCATCTGAGGCCAATTTCAGGCAGGTAGTTCAAAGCCATTTTATGCAAAGGGAAGAGAGCAAGGCATAAGATTTCCTTTTTGTTCCTGATGCAGCAGAGTTAATTGTCAGATCGAAGGACGGAAAAACCATCCACGATGAACTCCCTGATTTTTTCTATAGAGGAAAACAGTCATTAACTCTGTCAGCTAACTAAGAGACCTGACAGAACATCAATCAAGGAGCAACTAAAGATGCTTGATGGGAAATACTGACGTGAACAGACTGGGTCCACCTCCACCTCTAAGGCTCCACCTCCAAGCCCCCCCGCCCCCTTCCCACCTCGAGGTTGTGGCCTAATCGGATTTCTGGAGGTAGGAATGGACCTGTCATTCCTGAAACCAAGACTTCCCTCCTTTCCCACTGGGCATTTAATGCAGCCAAGCGCGTCCCAAGAGATTTTGATCTCCTCCTTTCTGCTGCTAAAGTCCCAGCAGAACTGGCAAATCACGGAGGCTTCTGGATCGGGATAGAGCGAGCTGGAGCTGGGCCTGGCTAGGAATTCCCCCGACTGCAAGCACAGCCCTGATCCACGCTTTCACCAAGCGACTCAGCATTAGCACAGGCTAGGTTGTCATCCGGAAGATGGCTCACATCTGGCCACTGAGTGATGCGGGACTCCTCCTCCTGCAAGAATACTTCCTCTCGGGTTTTCCTCCCAAGTGAAAGACTCCCGGCTTCATTTCTCCTTCCCCCTCGTGCCTTCCTTCTATGGACTGAAAAAAGCCCAAACACTCACTCATTAATGGAGCCCATCAGTAGGGTCCAGGGGTGCCCCTGAACTCAGGGTGGGTCTCTTTTGCAGGACACCAGCTCAGGAAGGGCTGCTTTTCATAGCCTAGAGCTGACAGCCTGACAGAGGATGTTTCACCATTTGTCACAAGAGACCTCCGTCGTGGAAGTGAAGCAGCAGCACCCCCACGGGACTTGCTGGTGACCAAGAATGCATCAGTGAGCTCCTGCTGGTGAGGTTGTTGCCCTTAAGACAGGCTGAGATTTCTAAAATTAAAACATGCTTCGTTGTGGTTGCGGTGTTGCTGCTGCCGCGTTGAAGTGGAAGTTACTGACAGCAGCATTCACCTGCTTCAGCTGGGTTTCCAAAACCTAACCCTAAGGCCAGAGAAACCCCCCCAAATCTGGCCAGAATGTTGCAGCTCCTATTTGTCAAACAGAGGAGAGGGTAGATGCTTGAATCCAAACAGCAGAGTTCATACAACATGCAAACTAGCTACAGACTGGTCAACCACATTTTAGTTTAAGTTATCAATAGAAGTGAATATGTGTAGCTCAGGGTTGAACTGTGGAGTCCTTGGGGTTCTCTGAGCTTGGTTGTTTTCTTTTGCAAGAAAACAACCAAGCTCAGAGAACCCCAAGGAC